CAACGCCTTTAAACCTGACAAAGCTTGCACGGACGACAGCGACGCTGACACCGAAGCTGGCGGCTTCAGCCCCAGCGACGGTAGTTCGCCCGACACGGACAGCGACGAAGACCACACTCGTGAACCACCACCTGCGCAAGTCCCCGACATCCTCCCTGCCAACGCCATTGTTGCTAACACCAAGGACATGCTTAAGCTCATGGTCGACACCTGGGAGCCCATCTTGGGCAGGTACCGTGCACGTGCGGGACATGACGCCGAAGCCATGCCGACGTGGGCCGACTTCTACGACGAGTACCGACAAGAGCTGCCTACGCCATCACCAGCTACCCCTTTCCACCTCACCGACGACCAACTCATCCACTTCATTCGCACCCGTTCACCGCGCCGCGCGGGGGGACTGGACGGCTGGACTACTAAGGAGGCTAAGGAGTTACCCGACGACATTCTTCGCCTCTTCGCCAGCGTCCTACGCGCTATGCAACGCACTGGCACCATCCCAGAACCCCTCCTCCACGTGCCAAACCCGTGCCTCCGAAAAGGCCGAGGCGAACTCCCAACGGACCAACGACTTCTCTCGGTGCTTTCCGTTTGGATGTATGCGTGGGAAGCGCCAGCTTACCGCAGCCTCACGGACTGGCGGAAAGGATGGACCCACGCCACGAGTTTTGGCGCTGTCCCCAAAGCTACCATTGGGGACGTCAGCACCTCTCTTGCCCTGCGCATCGAACACGCCAGGGCCTTACTCCTTCCCTTAGCTGGAGCTGCCCTGGACCGACAGAAGTGTTTCGACTACCTCATCACGGACATCTGCCTTAACCTTGCGCTTCACGCGGGGTGTCCCCAAGACATCGTTACTGTCCGCAGAAACTTCTACAGTCGCCACAAACGCTACATCCGCATGAACGGTGCGTACTCTAAGGAACTGGCCAGGACAAACGGTCACCTCCAGGGAAGCTCTTGGTCCCTGGACGACATTAAGCTGCTCATGTGTGTGTGGACCAAGAGACAGCATCGATACGTTCCGCGATCACTCAGCACTACCTTTGTTGACGACAGCAACTCCACTACCCACACCGCGCCTGAGTTGCAGAAATCTCTTGATGAAACCGCCAAGTTTGATCGATTTTCTGGTCAACGCATTCACCCTGGCAAAGTGGCGGGGTGGGCGCTCACCGACGAGCTTCACACCGCCGTTACCCAGCTCACTCTGGCGGAACGGCCCTTACGCGTGGTCGACTCCTTCAAGCTCGTCGGGAGTTACATCAACGCCGAGGCAGCGCCGGCTCCAGCCGCGCTTAACCTCACGGCCACCGCTGACGCCCGTGTTCGCAGGGCGACTAGTCGCCTGCCGCGCATTGGCAAGCTCCCATCACCGATGCTTATTAAGGCGCGGCACGCCCGTTCCCTTGCTGCCAGCGTCTGTACCACGGGCACCGACATTCAAGCCCCATCAGGCCCCGTCAAAACTGCCTACAACCATGCCCTTAAGGCGGCTATCCGCCCCAAGGGAAACAGGTGGGTCGAGTTTTGGACTCTCATGGCCGTGTGCGTCCCAGGACACGCCCTGGAGATTGACGCCATTATGCAGCGTGAAGTCTTCCTGTGTCTGCGGCGACAGGTTAACCGCGACGCTACTCTCTGCGGTCTCGTCAGGGATCTCCAACACCATGTCCAGACCCTTTTCGGGGGAGGACCTGTCGGACGACTTGTCCAGACGCTTCAGCAGCTCCGTTGGACCTGGCCCACATTTGGCATCATGTACGACGACTGGGGCTGTCAGATCAGTTGGCTGAACCTACCCCAAAACGCCTTCCTTCACATGCTGCGAGCCTCACAACGCAGAGCCTTTCTGAGAAAAATCAAGCCACGGCGTCATGACCTTGGACACCTGGCCTCTGTCAGACAGGGCCTCGACCTCTTCGCCAGCACGTGGCTCGCCCGAACGAAAGGAGCAGCCAAATGCAACGCATGGCAGCTGGCGCTCCTCCTAACTACCTGTCGGGCGGGGACCACACCCAACAGCGACGATCCCGATCAAACACGTCCGCTGACCCCAGCCCCATCTGCCGATACTGCGACGAGGAAGAGGAAACTCAGGAGCACACTGTTCGCGACTGCAAGTGCTGGGCCCGAGAAAGAGTCCCTCTTACCACCCTCATCAGTGACGAGCAGTGGGCCCGTCTTCCGCCGCACACAAGACACTGCGGGCTCTTCGATGAAGACCCAGCCCTCCTCGACCTGCAGGCCGACCTCGCGAGGGACCCGCTACCTCAGCCCATACCGCGGCCCCCACCTGAGGGAGATCCTGCGGCTTCAGCCCAGGACTCCTACACCACCTACCTTGACCATGACACTGGTTGGACATGGGTCTACGCTGCCACGGACGGTGCATGCACCAACCAAGCCATCCCATTGCTTGCACGAGCGGGCTACGGCGTCTACTACGGCATCGACCACCGCATGAACTACAGTGCACGCGTTCACGGCATCACGCAGAACGCACAGCTTGCGGAGACCCTCGCCATTGTCCACCTCACGGCATGTGCTGAACGGCCCGTACACGTTTTCGTGGACAACCAGGCGGTGGTTGATGGTTTCCAAAGGATCATCGACGGACACTCACCACCGCAGGGCACGCACGTGGAGCTCTGGGAAAAGATCCACCGATGCGTCATGGCCAAGCCCAACATGTTCCGCGTCGAGAAAGTCGCTAGCCACCAGGGCGACATGGGCATCGACCTCGGGCTCATCGGGCCCATCGCGGAGGAGTTCAATCGTCAGGCTGACGCCCTCGCCACAACGGCGGCACGTACTCATAACCTTCCAGACGACATTGTCGAAGCTGCCAAATCACGACATCGCCAAGCGACCGTGCTTCATGGAGTCGCTGTCGCCATCTACGAGCGTAGACACCGTACACTCCCCCTCCCACACCGCAGGGCTGGGTTCACAGCTGCGGAACTAACAAAATGGAACCAAATCCCCTGCTGTCTGACCAGGCACCACCCGCGGCTGGACCAGACATCCCACAGAACCCGGACGAGCTCTGGGCCGAGGCCCAACGGGCGATATTCGACGAACAGGAGGACGACCCGTTCGGCTTTGGTGGGGGCCTGGACTTCCTGGGCGACGGGCCAGCCAGCGCCAACCCTGCCCCGTCGGGCACCCGCACGGCGCCCCCGACTCCGCCATTGAGAGCGGCAGCGCACCCACATGACAACGCCGCTCATTTTCAAGACGCTGACGAACAGGAGGATGACCTGTTCAGCTTCGGTGGGGGATCGGACGCTTTGGACGACGGACCAGCCAGCGAAAACCCCGCCCCGTCGGGAAACCTCTCGATCCCTACTGCGACTCCGTCCCCGAGAGCGATATCGCCCACATACGATGATATCGGCCACCGCCAAGACGCCGACCATGACCTGGGTGACCCCCGCGGACTGAGTGGCATGGAGGACGCACCGCCGATACCACACGCTGCCGACCATGCCGCCCTACCGAGACGCCAACCTTCTACGCGACCGACCTCAGAGCCCTTGCACGGCATCACGACTGGTCCCACCGCGCAAACCACTCCGCCCCCCCACCGCCGGCAGCCCGCGGGGGCGGCTTCAGCCCCCCCGCAGGGGACTAAACCAGACAGGCCCTCGTGCCCCATCCACGCTTCCATCGTTGCTGAGCGAGAGGAAGCGGCTCTCCCGACCTCTCGGGGCGTGGCCCTAGCGGCTCCAGCCCTGGGGTCGCGTCGGCCCCTCCAGTCACCCTTCAAGGGTGACGGACGTCAGCGTACAGGGTCCCGCACTACGCTAGGCCACCATTTGGACAGGCGTACCGAGGACCTCGCCTCTGTCTCGAGGCCCTCGGCTGCTGGCACTGAGCAGCCACCCCTCACCGACCGCGAAACCGAGCTGTCACAGGCTATGGCTGCTCTCCAGCAGAGGTGCTTAGCTCTCGCCGCGGACCTCGCCGCCGCCCAAGCTCGTCAAGGCCCTCTACTCCAGCGCCTCCACAGCGCTGGGCGAGCCTTTGCCGAGCTGCTCACGGCCTCGCCCGATGGTGCCGTGCCGTCACTCACCATCCAAGCTATGCTGTCATCGTTCCGCGGCGCTCCACCTGGTGCCCCGCGCTAATCTCCTCCTTTCTGCCTGCCCGTGTGCACGCGTGGCTCCGCGTCCACGGTGTCAGGGCGTGGGGGCGGGGGGTGCCCCGTCACTGCGCGCCGCTTAGCGGCCAAGCGCCCAACTGGCGGTCTGCCAAGCCGCCTAGCCACGTGTCAGCACGTCGCCTTTCTTGTTGGGGCCTTTTTCCTCACGCGGTCTGACAGGTGAGATCATCATCGTCTGTCCGCCGTCTGTAGCGTCTGTCGCACTGCGCCGGGGGAGGGGGTTTTTTGTTGCCCGCCCTCGTATCTAAAGGCTGCACCGCCGCAAATAGTGCATGCGAGTTGTCGCACCGCAGTGCGCCTCGCGGACGGACCCTGGTCCGCCTACTTGTCCGATCTCTCTCTCTCTCCCTCTCTCTCTCTCTCTCTCTCTCTCTCTCTCTCTATATCTTTGTCGTTATCTCTCTATCCCCCTCTCTCTCTCTCTCTCTCTCTCTCTTTCTCTCCCTCGTCCCCTGTCTCTCTCTCTCTCTCTCTCTCTCTCTCTCTATATATATATAGATCCTCTTTTTCTCTCTATCTCTCTCTCTCTCTCTCTCTCTCTCTCTCTCTCTCTCTCTCTCTCTCTCTCTCTCTCTCTCTCTCTCTCTCTCTCTCTCTCTCTATATATCTCTCTCTCTCTCTCTCTCTCTCTCTCTCTCTCTCTCTCTCTCTCTCTCTCTCTCTCTCTCTCTCTCTCTCTCTCTCTCTCTCTCTCTCTCTCTCTCTATATATATCGTTATCTCTCTCTCTCTCTCTCTCTCTCTCTCTCTCTCGCACCACCCTCGGCGCGCCAGCGGGCGAGTCGAAGCTCGGCCGCTGACGCACAGCGTCGGCCCGCGGGGACGCGGCAGCCTCACGCCGCCAGCCCGCGCCACAGGACGGCGAGCCCCCGCCCGCCGCTCGGCCATCGGCCGTCGAGCGGCCTCGCATCCCCCCAGCCTGCGTCGCCAAAGGGGCCAGGCGCGCGGCCCCCGCCGTGCGACGAGCTCGAGTCGGGCCCCTCTGCCACGCTGTCCACGTGCCACGAGACGTCGTCGGCGGGCGCAAGCTCGGGGTCTGCGCCACCCCCCGCTCCAGGCAGCAGGCCCTCGCCCTCGCCCGCCTCGGGGGGCCCAGCTGGCGGCGGCGGCTGGAGGCCCGACGGTGCAGCGTCTGGCTCGGGGCCGTCGTCGTCGCTGTCAAAGTCCGCCTGCCCCAGTTGCCGCAGGAGGGGGAGCTGAGGGCGGCCGTGCCCGTGACCCGTCAATGCTCCTCGAGCCTGGCCGAAGGCTGGGGGGCCCGCAGCAGCCAGAGGTACCATGGCCGTCCTGGGCGGCGGCACGCCTCGCGGCTCGATGCCTGGCACGGGCCCCGCTAAGCCAGGGAGCTCGGGCAGTTGGGCCGCTGCGGCCGGCCCGATATGTGCCTCGATGGCCCTCGCCACTTCGTCAGTGGACGCCCACTGCATCGCCGCTACATGGTGCCATGCGGAGAAGGACAAGTCCAGCAGGTGCCTGCACGTCGCCTGCCGCACGCTGGCCTTGCGTTGCCACGCCTGCCCGACCATCGCCTTGACAATCGCCAGGACCCCGATTGAGCCCGCCCCCTGGGCCACCTCCTGGCAGCTGCATTGTCGGGTTGCCGCAGCCACGCCATGGCAAACCTCGCTGCCCAAGCCAGCCAGCTGCGCTCCGCGCCGCCGGGGTCCCGCAGGTCGAAGATCCAGACCGCTGCAAAGTCCATGAGGGTGCGCTTCAGCAGCTGCAAGCCCTGAAGCGACGTGAGCACCGACGTGGAGCTGCTGCTGGGGGGCGAACCTCCTCCCTCGCCGTCAGGCGGCGGCCCCGAAGGCTGGCGCCTGCGGCGGTGGGCCCGTCGGCGGGCGTCAGGCGAGCTGATGTCCAAGATCTCGCCCTCGCTCTCGGGCGGCACGGTGCTGCGCCTCCTGCTGGCCTCACCACAGCCCACGCCAGGCGCCTGCGGCGGTTGGGGACCTCCGTCATCAGCCCCAGGCCACGGCAGCAGCTGTGGCGGGCCGCCTTGCGGCGTCAGTGCCGCGGGCGCACCCCTGCCAGGCGGTGGCGTGCGAAAGCGGTGAGGCTGGACCTCGCCCCCGCGACCGGCGGCTTCGCCCTGCTCCCTGCGCGCACGCATGGCCTCCACGTCCGACGCCTGCAAGCCCCTGATGAGCACCATGTCATCGTCGTCTAGGTCGACCCAGACGTCCTCGTCGGCCTCCGAGGTGGGCGATTCGAGGACGGCGGTGCACAAGCGCTGGCGGCTCGCCCCCACGTGCAAGGCGTTGCCGCGGTCGCAGAGGAAGGCCCGCCCAGCCGCCAAGTAGCCACGGAACTGGTGGACCCGCATCCTGAACGCCTCGCCCTCCAGCTGCAGCGCTGGGTCGATGTGGGCCTCGCGGAAGGGGGCGCCGTCCTGCCAGCCTCGCTCGCAGAACTCCTCGGCCTTCCGCCGCTTCTCTGCCTTCCGCCGATGTAATGGAAAAAACCCCTTGAAAGCGGGCTCGCCGAGCAGCCTGCACACGTAGTCGACATACTCCTGCAGCCAGCACGCACACGCATGGCTCTGGTCCGCCAAGTCCGTGGTCCACCAAGACTCCAGCTGCGCAAGGACGACTTCCAGGTCTCCCGACCTGCCCCAAGCCTGCACGGCGAACTTGTCGTTGCCCGCGGCTGGGGGGGTCGCCGAAGTGGAGGCTGTCGTGCACGACGCTGGAGCCGCTCCGCTTGTCGCTCTTGCCCCCAACCCTGAAAAGCGGGCCAGTTGGGGAGTACCAGCCGCGGCCCCCCGCGGGCGCCTGCCCGCCAAGCCTGGGCCCTTGGTCAGCGCAAGCCCCCTGGCCGCTGCCAGCAGGCACTACACCTTCTCCTCCACGGACGCAGGTCCCAGCTGGCGGGCGACGTGGGATGAAGGAGTAGGTTAGGCTCGCTCAGGGTAGGCTGCCGCGGGCGCGCGCCCCGTCTTCCCCCCCCCCCCCCCCTCTCCCTCAACGGAGGCCCCCGACGGTGTCCGTCCCGCCTCGCCTTTCCGACGCGTCGCCGCCGCTGCCGCGGGGTGCTTCTGCGCCACCTGCGTCTCCACCAAGTCCGCCACCTGCAAGCTCAGGTTGACCGCTTCTGAGCTCGCCAGCCTCTGCGCCCCAGCGGCGCTCTGGCTCTTTGCCGCTCTCATCTGGCCAAGGCGCGGGGGCTGGCACGGCCTGCAGCCCAGGGGGGACCGAGCCTTGTCCGCGTTGGCCTCCCGCCCGCAGTGGATGCACTGGACCCCGCCTACCCCCACCGTCTGGCACTCGTGGCGCGTGAGGCTGAGCTGCGGGCCCGCCAGCAGCTTCGGCTCGAACTTCCGCATGAGCCCCCCGTCCTCGTCCAGCGGCCTAAACAAGTCGACTTGACAAATCCTGGCCGCGGCCCAGCCGAGGTAGTCTGCCGTGCCCAGCGCCCGCTGGAGCTCCGCATGGACCGCCACGGCGGCGCCGCCGGGCAGCTTGATCTCCGCCGCACCCAAGTTGGCGAAGGAGTCCGCCCAGCAGTTGCCCAGCCAGTCCAGTGGCCGGATGCCCTCTTCGATCACCTATTCCAGCGCGCGGCTAACAGGAACCCACCTGAACCGCGGCGTGGGCACGGCACGGGCTGCCGCTGCAGCATGCAGCTGCCTCCAGATGCCAGCATGTCGTCCACGTGCCGACGCCGCATCTGGGCTCCAGAAGTTGTCCTCCGCCACGAGTGACTGGAGGTCGCTGGCGATGAGGCTTGTCGCCCCTGGCTGCCGCAGCGTGGCCAGGCAGGCGAAACGCTCCGCTCGCCCCACAGTCTGGACTTCACCTGGGAGCGGGCCATAGGCAGCCTTTAGCGGGAACCCATCGGGCCCGAGGGCCACCACTGCCCAGCCGCACCTGCGGGCCTCGGGGGCATTGGAGGCATGGCCCGAGCCGTCTGTGTAAACAACCGACGGCCAGGGGACGCGTTCAGCACCCCAGCCGACGCAGGCGGCAGCGCGGGCAGCAGCGGGAGGCCGCACGAGAGGGGCAGGTAGCTGTCGCCGACGGTCCAGCGTGGCTCCGCCTCGTGCATCGGCTGGTGAAGAGCCCCCAGCGGCCTGCGGGACGGCTCTTCCTGCTCCAGCTCGTCGCCCCTGGGCGCCATGACCACAGGACAGCAGCACCAGCGATGCACCAGCGTGTCGCGCGCCTCGCCGCACGCGCGGCGCACCTCGGCGTCCGTGAACCCATGGCTGTACCTCCAGACGTTGGTGTAGTGGCCGCCTCACCAGAGCGCCTGGAGCGCCCCCTTCTCTGCGGCCGCGCCTGCACGCTGCGCGATTGCCCGTGCCGCGCGCGGCCACAGCGTCCCCCATTGGCTCTCAGGGAGGTGGGCCACTGCTCGGCGGAACTGCCATATCTGGATGCCCTCGACCAAGGCGCTCTCGATGTCCCGCGGCGCGGCGTGCAACATGGAGCGCAGCTCCCCGATGTCCGACCTGAGCGCCCACACCGATTGCACGCTCCAGCCGATGCGCTCGAGGGAGAGCCACGTTGCCGCCAAGGGCCCATAGGCGCTGGCCCAGGTGAGGCGGCCCGCAGTGGCCACTGCCGCCAGACTGCCCCAGCTGGCGGCGAGGGCGGCGAGGGAGCCGATGCCCTCCCAGATGCGGCTGGCAAGGCGCACGACCAGGGGGACCGCGGCCGTGTAGATCGGGTCGTAGTCGACGCGCTCATGCAGGAGCATGACTGCCGCGGCCCCGCACCCAGCCTTAGCCCCCGCAGCGGCCGCCGCCAGGGCACGCAGCTGGGCGAGAGGGCGGCCAGCCAGGCCCGCCACGCATGCCCCATGGCCCGCAGAGAGCGAGAGGCCCCTAACAACCGGGGCCGCCGCGCGCCTACCAACCGCCCGCCTGCGCATGGCCAGCCGCCGCCACCTGCCCATCAGGGAGGCAAGCCTTCGTTTCTCCTGGGCGCGGATCACCTTGCGCCCGCGCAGCTCGTGCCCCAGGTTGCGGGCCCAGACCTTCTCGTGGAGCCCCTGCCGCTGCATCGCGGGGCGCAGCTGCTGGGCCCGTCGGCGCGACGAGGCCAAGAAGCCCGATTTCTACGGCTGCATCACCAGCTGGAGGTCGGCGACGCTGGCCGTGAAGCTGCTGAGGGCGTTGGCGAAGTCCTTGCTGCGCCCCGCGCTCGGCCCCGCCCAGGCGAGCGCGGCGTCGTCCACCAGCCCGCGCGGCTGCACGGCGGGGGCGATGGCACGGGCCCTCCGAGGAGCCCGCAGCGCGAACACCCGCAGCAGCGAGTTGGCGCGCCCGCGCCCCGCGACGTTCCCTGCCAGGCCACCACGGCACGCGACATCGCGTTGAAAGCCGCCAGCGCGCGGGGCTGGAACTCCAGCGCGCGGGCCTCCTGTGGCGTCACCATCTCATACGCCTTCCAGAGGTCGAGGGCCGCCTCCGCCGAGCCCCAGCCCGCCAACTTGGTCTGCTCCATGGCCAGGTTGAAGCAGCACGCCGAGTCGGAGCTGGAGCGCCCAGGCCCCGCGCTCCATGCGAGGTCCAAAGGGTGCGCCTGCCCTCAAGCCTCGGTGATCGGGCGGCGCGCACGGCTCCAGACCCGCACGGGCGTCGGCATGAGCCCGACCAGGCGGCTGCCGCCATCAGGGTTAGGGATCCTGACCATGACATTGACCAGGCGGCTGCTCGGCCATTGCAGCAAGTCTTCACACATGTGGAAGACCGCAATCATCGCGTCGACGGCCTCGTCCGAGATGTCCTCCAGCGCCCTGGGCGGGATGCCCGACTGCCCAACTCCCTTGCCCCACGGGAAGGAGCGGATCACGTCTCGCGCGGCGCGTCGCTCGAGCGGGGCAAGGCGATCCGAGACGCATGCGTCCGCGGGGCCACAGCCCGCGCTCGACGATGGCATCCCCGTCGCTCCCATCACAGGCCTGCACTACCTCCTGGCAGACAGGGGCCTCGGAGGTGGCGCGCGCGGCCCCTGCGCCTCCAGCGAAGGCCTGGTCGATCCAACCCTTCCAGCGCGCCTGGGCCACCTGGGAGTTCAGCTTCTCATGCTTCTTCCATTCGGCCACGACCCCCTTGAGGCTCTTGCCCCAGCCGCCGCCCAGGAACACGTCGCCGCCTCTCTGGAAGGGCGCTCGGGCCCAGGCAGGCAGGTGGGCCCAATGGCCATGGTTCTCCACCTTCTGCAGGAGGCCGGCCGCGCACCGCGGCGATGGCTGCGCCCCCCGCGGCCAGGCGCTTTCTCCCGCAGCGTGCTGGGGCGGCGTATCTCGGCCGCGGGCCCGCTGCGGAGCGCGTGCAGCGTCTTGGTGAGACGGCCGCGCTGGCCGAAGAAGCAGATGGGCCCACTGCGTCGCCGCTGCCCAAGCCTGCGCCCAAGGTGCCTGTTGCGCGGGGCCCGCCAGCAGATCTCGCGCCAAACGACCTCGGCGGCACCCTCTGCGCCCCTGCCCGCCGCGCGCCTGTGCTCCTCCCCCACGAGGCCCCTCCTTGCAAAGATCGGTCGCGATGCCCATGAGGAGGAGGTCCCATATGCCCTGCAAACCTGCGTCGTCGCTGACCGCTGCGACGGTCCTCCTGACCCCTCCCCAGCGCCAGGGCGCACGCGCACAGCCAGGGAGGGCTGCATCCTTGGGCACAGGCTTCGGTTCGTTGAGGACCCGCTGCCAGCTGACCGCATGGAGCTGATCTAGGGCCAGGTGCACGGGCCAGTGCGGCCAAGTGCTGGCGCCGAGGTCCAGCTGGGCCGACTGGTTGGAGAGCCCCGACATGCTCTTGGCCAACACAAAGGAGTCGATCCGAGAGCCGCCGCCTTGCCTGCACGAGGGTGCACTCGTTGCCCGCACAGCGGCTCGCAGCTTCGTGATCTAGCCGAAGTCCAGGGCCTGCGGCTCCATGACCCAGTCGCCCATGACTGCCCAGTGGTGCCCTTCCGCCTCCAGCTGTCCGAGGCACTGTGCCAGCTGCCACAGGATACCCAAGCTGTTGGCCGAGAGGCCCTCGCCATCGTGGAGGTAGACACTCAGGATCACGATGCCCTCCTTCGACCCAGCCCGTACATGCCCTGCCACCAGCCTGCCTGGCACAAGTCCAGGCGAGCGGCGTCCATGGGGGAGCCGTGACCTGGATGGAGGTCGGGGTCAAGACGGCTACTCCTCCCACCGTGCCCGAGGCAGAGGTAGGTGAAGGGGTCGCCGCACTCCAGACTCCATGCCAGCCCGCGTCCTTGGCTGCCTTCTGATGCGTCGCCAGGTCGCGATGCAGGCGGTGATGCTCCTGCACCGCCATCGCCAGCGTCGACGCGCCGTCGGCCATCTGCAGGAAGTCGCCGAGGGGCCCCCCACGACGTCGCGTTGACCGTGGTCAGCCGACACCCCTTGGCCATCGGAGTGCGCGCCCTGGCGGGCGGGGGCGGTCGCGCGGCCGAGGTCGCCGTCGCGCCTGGGGCCCGCAGACGGTCGGCGCCGTCCTGCGGCTGAGGGGGCGGAGCGAGCGGGGGGCTCGAGCTCCGTGCGGGGCGCACTGGACAGCGTGCAGGGTACGCTTCCAGGCATTCAAGAGACACGAACCCGCAGTCCAGCTGGTCGCTCACGTCCAGGGAGGCGCCGAACGACTCCGACATGTGAGGGAGAGGCTGTGACGTCGAGGGGCTGCATCCCTCCGCCCCTCCCTCTGGGCCGTACCCTGAGGCCGACACCCGCGGCTGCCTTTCGGAAGGATCCTCCAGGACAGCCGAATCCTCCAGGTCAAAAGATCCTCTCTTTCTCTCTCTGTCTCTCTTTCTCTTTCTCTCTCTCTCTCTCTCTCTCTCTCTCTCGCTCTCTCTCGCTCCGTGTCTCTCTGAACCCTTTGCACATGCATTCCGCTCGACGTGTGGCCCAGTGGATTTCAATTGGGCCAGGTGGGACGAATCAGAATCCTGCGGATCTGGGGGCACCTTCCTTTTTGACGGAAATTGGCATCCAGTAAGAATTGAACAGATTTGTGGGCTAGAGTTTTCTATTGGAAGAAGACCCACCAACAGGGCTTCAACGGCAATTTGATAAACTACGCGGCCGCAGGCTTCACGGGAGGTCAGTTCGATTCGAGCGCGAAGCCCAAGAACAATACAACAGGACAGCATCGGCACGCGCTTTGGGTTCCCCATGCAGCGCAACGAGTTACATTGCATTTGCATTCGTTTGCAGCGCGTTTGCATTGCATTGGCAGCACGAGGAAATAAAGGCAAGGGGATGGAGAATGATGAGGAGAGGGCAGAGAGGGGGGAGGAAGAGGACAGGAAAAAGTGGGCTCCAATGCGAATGTATGATGTAGTAGATCCTCAGGGATCGTTGTCACTCGTTTCGTATTCAGCTGCACGGCAAAATGAACCTTATCTGAATCGAAGCCTTAGACCACTATACGAACTAACTCACGGTGGCCGTATTCAGATCCATATGCATCCTCAGAATATGAGGCCTGCGTCACCCCTATTTTGATTACAGAGCGGCATTCCAATTGAAATCGAATTTGAACCTTGTGAAAACTAGCGCCTGTTCAATCCTTATTGAATCCTTGTCGGGGGCCGATTCACATTCAGCAGGTATAGCCTAGATATGGAATCTATCGTAATCATTTTACGTCCTGCCTCGGCCTCTTGCAAAACTAAACAAATTCCAAGTGGTTCTAACGCACGCTCAAGCCCTTTGTTGATGTCTCTTTCTGGCAGGTGGGAAATCAAAAAGCGGACAAGCCCGAAAAACAGAAAACACACACACACACACACACACCGGAAAGCCGGAAAAACAAAGCCTGGCGAAGGCCCCAACCACATGCAGCTGCGAGCAACGTTGGATATTACATTCTCATCATAGGCAGCGCGCCGCGAGAGGGACGGAGTACGGGGCAACGCGGATGAGAACACCGAAACGTGTGCGGGGCGTGCCGGAGTGGGCTGGGGAATGCATGCGGGCGCTGCCACTGGGGCCTTCGGCGGAGCTCCCGATGGGCCACGAAACATATGAGAGGTGTGTCAAAATAGGCAGACGAAGGCATACGAACCCTGCCACTGGGCCCTTCGGTGGAGCTCCGTATGGGGTCGCGAGGGGCGCGAGGGGTGCGTCGACATGGAGGCGACGCCGCCATGCGAACCCTGCTGCTGAGGCCTGCAATGGAGCTCCCTATGGGGCCACGAAACGTGTGAGGGTTGTGCCGAAATGAGGCGGGGCCGCCATGCGAACCCTGCCACTGGGTCCTTCGGTGGAGTCCCCCATGGGACCACGAACCGTGCGAAGGGTCCGCAATGGAGGCGGGGCCGCCATGGGAACCATGCCTCTGTGGCCTTCGGTGGAGCTCCCAAATGGGGCCACGAATCGTGTGAGTGATGTTTAAACGGTGTTTCGAAAAGCGGCGGGGCCGCCATGCGAACCCTGCCACTGGGGCCTTCGGTGGAGCTCCCTATGGGGCCACGAGACGTGCGAAGGGCGCGCCGAAATGGGGCGGGGCCGCTATGCGTACCCTGCCACTGGAGCCTTCGGTGGAGCTCCCTACGGGGCCACGAAAGGCGTGCCGGGTGCTCCGACATGGGACGGGGCCGCATGCGAAATTTGTGACTGAGGCCTTCGGCGGAGCCCCCTATGTGGCCACGAACCGTCTGAACGGGCGTGCCAACATGGGCAGGGAACCGCATGCGAACTTTGCAACGGAGGCCTTCCGCGGAGCTCCCTATGGGGCCACGAAACGTGTGAGGGGTGTGCCGACATGGGCGGGGAACCGCATGCAAACCCTGCCACTGGGGCCTTCGGTGGAGCTCCCTATGGGGCCACGAACCGCGTGCGGGGCGCGCCGAAATGGGCGGGGAACCGCATGCGAATCCTGCCACTGGGGCCTTCGATGGAGCTCCTTGTGGGGCTGCGAAACGCGTGATGGGGTGCGCCGAAATAGACATGCGCGAGGCAGAGGCACGCATCGGAGGCGGGGCGGAGGGGAGGAGGGTGCGGGGGGCAGAAGCACGCATGGGAGGACGGAGGAGATACTGATGATGATGATGATGATGATGATGATGATGATGATGATGATGATGATGATGATGATGATGATGATGATGATGATGCTGCTGCTGCTGCTGCTGCTGATGATGATGATGATGATGATAACGATGAGGAGGAGGAGGAGGAGGAGGAGGAGGAGGAGGAGGAGGAGGAGGGTGGCGATGATAGGGGAACGGGAGAAAAGGGGGAAGAAGGAGAGGAGACGCGGGGCGCTGTCTCTTCAAAACAATGACCCAAACACCACAGGACGGCTGCGAACAACAATTAGCCTTGCGAAAGACCCAACCATACGCAGCCGCCGATACCGCATATGTGAACATCGCCGTCGGTGGAGCTCTTTACGGGGGCGCGAACCGTGCGAGGGGCGTGCCACAATGGAACGGCGGCGGCGCGCGGGCGCTGCCATTGCGGCCTTCGGCGGAGCGCCCGCAAGGGCCTTCGACGTGGCCCCCTCTGTCCGTGATTTTGAACGGGGGGGGGCGAATAAAGCTAGACCGTCCAAGATTGTCCTTCCCTTCTTTTCCTCCCTCTGCGCCCGCGCACTCCAAGGCCCACGGCTGCGGGCGCGGCACAGCGCGGAGCCCCCGCGACGCGCGCCGGTCGCCCCCCGGAGGTCCCATCGACGCGCGCGGGTCGTCCGCTGCGCGCAGAGCGACGACAGGCGAGCGAGGCGCTGGTCAGAGCGTGGAATGGACCTCCCGCGACGCGCGCTGGTCGCTCCGCGAGGGCCCAGCGACGCGCGCGGGCCGTCCGCGGCGCAGAGCCAGACAGTCACGTCGAGAGAAAGCGAAGCTCGAGCGGGCCGCTCCCCTGGTCAGGCCTCGCTGATAAAGTCGGCGAAGCCCAGCCCCCAAGCGAGGGCCGTCGCCTCCCACAGGCGCACCGGCCTTGCAGACGCGCTGCAGCGGATTTACGCGTGGATTCCTGCGCGGATTCTTGCCCGAAGCGGCATGCGAAAAAACGAAATGAATTACGCGAATATTTTTGGCGTTTTCATTCCTGGCCCAAAGAGATTCGCACGAAATTCACGTCGAAATCCGGAGCGAAATTATCCTGGAAACCCGGGCCCATCCTATCGTGCGCCGAACGA